CTCTTTTTCTTCAAGATTCGTGAACGAAGTTCCCTGAAAACGAAGTTCCCTGAAAGATCATAGCACATCGGGTCTCTTACATGCTCGTTGATGGAAATAAAGGACCACCGAGCTCAAAGTTGACCAGCTGCTCCACGTACCTGATTAACTGCTCTTAGTTCCTCCAATGTTTGATTGGTTAGAGCCGCTTGGAAGAACTTAATGAAGAAGTCGCCGCTCAAATAATTAGTCTCGAGGTTGAGCTTTTTCAAGCCAGTATTAATCTCGAGCACTGGCATCAAAACCTGGAAATGTTTAGATCATTCAAATGATAAACTGTCATTTTTCACAAAGAAACTACTTGATTGGATAAAAAGCACTGAACTCAGAAAAAATATTGAGGAGGCTAGAACAAAGAAGTTCGAACAAGTCACATAATTCGACCTCCGTTCCGCACCTGCCCTTAGATGGAAGCCAAGCTAGAAGAAATTCCCTCCGTCCCTGCTCTCATGGTCAGTAAAGCAGCGAGGAAAACCGTTGCAGAAAAGGCAGCGGAAAACGCAGCTCCCATTTCGCCATCCTTTTGATGGATTTCCTTCCCTCATAAAGTCGGATTTTGCGACGAAAAGGCAGCTTATTGGAAATTGAGTTAGAGATGTACGAAAGAAGGAAAAAACAAGAAAACGGCCTCAGAACCCGAGAAATGGGACCCCTTCCTTGCCCGTTGATTTCCGCATTGATGCGACTCTCATCGGTGCTGCCCTCTTCAACGCTAACGCTCTCTCTCTGCTGAACGGCTAGAGGCTCAGACAGCGAGAGGGGAATACATTGCCAGTAGCGCGCCAATAGCGCTGCAAGGAAGGCCATGCTAGATCTCTGAGAGCATATCCTTCGATGCGAATTGCGTGTCGGTCTGCACCCTTAGGAGGTCGCCTGTCCCTCCACTAGGTAGGTTTCCCCTTCTTCGATCTTCGTCTTCGAAGGGAGCGCTTCCTCTGTGTCTTATTAACGTTGGCAGAGGAGGAAAGGTAAACCCTGATCTGTTGTCAGCTAGCATCGCCTCGTCCTCTACGGACTCCACAGTATGACTAATGGAGGTGAAGGATGTGTTAGTTGTGACTGGCATTTCTTACTACTCTTTGGATATTTGTTATCCCCACAGGACACACCATGTGCTATGGTGCCAGTGCACTCAGCAGAAGGTTTTCGATCAGTGGCATTGATCATGCTTCAACTAGAACGGAACGAAGCTGATTCATCCGAAAATCGGAATTTCGAAATCCACCTTGAAGTTTCAGAGTTTAATCCATCTTATTTCAGGAGTTTAATACTGACAAAAAAGAAGATCAATTCGATCATGGGAAACCACATGACGGATGAAGTCATAGTGCAGAGTCAGCTCGAGCACGGAATTACCTTCCGTTCGAGGGTGTCAGATATAATTTGGGAATTCTACAATACAACGAAAATGGTAGAATGCAAAGAGGAATCGGATGAATCGATTGGATTGTGTTAAAAACCTATAAAAAGGGAGAAACATGAGTATTCCGTGAAAAATTTAGGAGAAGAGTATCGTCACGAAAATTGACCTTGTGAACAGTATGAAAAGTAAATCAATAAATATGAATTTAAATGAACACATAAATACTCAAAACTGTGCACAGTAATACTTACTGCGAGATCATTGTCAGAGAGACCCATATTAGCCAGAGACAACCGCTCGCAATGTTCGTTATAAGCCAATGCCTCCAGCAACCGTCGAATTTGGGGAATTGGAGTTCGCTAGAAAAAAGGCTTTGACAATCGTGAAAGCCTGAATTCAAGAACAGAAAACACTTTCTAGATTTTTAGTCGGAAAGCCTTCCCTATACTAATTTTATGTCTGGATAAACGGGAGTGTCATTTGACGCCCCTAGAAAAAAAATTTTGGCAGACCTCGGGTCGAAAAGAGCCAAAACTGTGCTATCATGGGTTCATGGGTGCAGCACAGGCAAGGAAATTTGCGCCCTCTCTCCCAGATGACGGCTTTTTCATGATTCTGGTGCCTGTGGGAACGCACATTTGGTCTTCGGGACTCACTTTCATATTGTTCATGTTGATCTCTTTGAGCGATGGATCATTGTCGAGAAGGCGTTGAACACATTGGTCGATGTCGGTGTCGTTTTCGGGGTCCGTTGGATGGCTGTCATAGTGTCGAGTGTTCGCCAAGGCAAAAGCGCCGCCAGTTCGTTTTAATAAGCGCTTGGGATCACCCCAGGGAACCGCGGAATTCGCGCTCATTGTCTCTGAAACTTCATGAAGCTACCATTGTGCAAAAAAGCAGCTGAAAACAACATTGTGAAAGCAGCGATTAAAATCAAGACGAAAAACTGTCAAGAAGCCGATAAAAGTGAGGAAAGGGAATGTGTAGGACTGTGAATGTGCACAGAATGACTCAATGTTTTCCGTGCAGCACTCGTTCAAGTCGAACAGCTGGTGCGTGGAGTGCCGGACTTTTTCGATGATGACATTGGCATCGAAGGTGGAAAACACTCCCACCAAACGAATGTCAAAACAATCTGTATAGAAGTTTTTTGGAATATGAGTTGTGCCCGTAACTCGAATGGTAAGCGCTACGCGCCAAATCCAGATTCCGAAAAGCTTTGCATGCCTAGGTACTTCAAACTAGTGGATGTCAAGAATAAGTCAATGGACTACGTTTGGAATATGATGGCCTTGGTTGGTTTTATTCATATTGCTCGGGCGAACTTCTTTCGTGCACTAATGTGGTCACTCTCGTGGAAGAGGCCATCACGTAGGCGTAAGACTCGACCTAATTTATAAGGAAAATTTAAACAAAAGGAAATGGTGTCCCAATAGAGACGAGAAAGCATTCTTTTGGATTGATTATATCAGCTTTATATGTTGAACATGGGGTTCTTCGAAGAAATTATGGTCAGTGAAAACCGTACTGCTCACGATCAACAGAAATTAAATTCGTGGAAGAAAGGTGAGGCTAGGCTTTTCCAACAACCTGATAGCGAAGCGTTTAGGAGAAGTCGTGAATAAGTGACGAATACCTAGTTGATCGATTTGTTCTGGGGAATATTGAATATCAGAGATAGTTGTCGGTTCAGCTTATTTCGCCGACAACTTCAAAGAGCAACCAGATCGCTTTCGATCGGTTTATGATATGATGTAAACGTGGGATTTTACAATTTAATAACAAGACATCTGGTATGAAAATAAAGCGACATTATGCTTGTGGGACAACCTGATGAATTGCGGACTTTCAAACCTTACAGCCAACTATCCATTTGGGTATCCAGGAGGATGTACATAGAGGCGGACGGGCGCTCCAATTGATTACTCTTTGGCGTAATTTTCTATGATCCACTGCTTTTCTTTCTCACCTGAAAAGGCCGGCGCGCTCGACATTGGCATCCTGGATCCAAATCGGCTGTTGGGAATGGAGCTGTCGCTAGAAGCACTCATGCGATCGCGCACACACACCGAAAATCTGAAGCGACCAATTTATGTTTTATTCCTAACCAGATTGGTCCCCCGGCAACCACCGGGACCTCCTTACCTGCGTAAGCTTTACTCCTTCCAATGTGCTCCCATCCACTGGTGACATGGACACCTCGTGGAGGTGGCACGCATGCACAAAAAAGTGTCTTATATAGTAGAAGGCATTACCGTAATCGTGACATGACCTTAGAATGATATTAATTGGACCTCAGGTCTTTTGGCGGTTAGCTCCCCTCGCCCTTCTCCATCTTATCCTATTCCCTCTACTGCTCTCCAGCTGCTATTGCAGCATCATGTGGAATGAATGAGACCATGCTCAGTAGGTGTTTATATAGCCGTTGGGGTGTTATCACATTGATAGCACTGCAAAACATTGATTGCTAAAGTCATAGTTACTCGATTTTGTTAACGGTCTGTTTACTTCACGAGTTTCCCTACCACTTCATTTTGCGGACGGACACACATACATACATACACACACACACATACAGACATACAAACCGACACACAAAGTTAGCGCTTTATAAAATAGAAGGATAGGATGAACGATCTTATAACGTCGACTTCCTTTAGTGGTACGCCGTGTATTGCGGGTACGCACGAGTAGACGCCACGCCGAACAATCGACATGCAGAGTCTGTTAGGCGTTCCACTCAGAAAGCCTGCATGTACTTCGCAATAGTTGCCTTGGAGCAATTATGTGGAACGCAATGACGCTAACACGAACGCTAAAGCTGAGCTACTTTAAACCCTGCTGACGAAAATGGGACAACAATGGGTTACAAATCGAGTTGCCAAACTCATTCTCCATAAGCCGGAAGCTGAAGCGTACCATGGCCCCAACAGAAATCAGTGGCTGTGCCATTACATTTTTTATAGATCCATTTGAGCTTCTGAATACTGGACGTTCAGCAGTTGTGGGCGTTCAGCAATTGTTGAAGAATTACCTTCTGACTATCAGCAATTTTTGAGTTGGGAAATAGAGTTGAAGGATGACTCAATTATGCCGCGGTGCGCCCATCGGACTATAAGGCTGGCCATTACACTGACAGGACTCTCGCTTTGTTTTTTAGACATCGATGAAATTAATCGCTTTCAAGTTGTGTACGTGTGAGCAGTTTTCCTCAGAATCAACCTCTCATGCTTAAATTAATATCGCTCACTGCAAAATTTAGGGAAGCCTTCCTGACTCATGAGTGATGGCGTGGAGCTTGAGCTCAGGCATACTTTTCAGCTGCTTACATGCGCAATACCTTCTTCATGTGGAAAAATGTAAAGAATCCCGGGAAATGCCTGGGAGTCCAGGAATGGAAATTAGAGGTGGTGAAGAGTATTGGTTAGAAGACTTGTCCGTCAATGGATGTCACTGTTTCAGGCATCTAATGAATGCTGTTCTGGGTTCACACTATGTTGAGTTGAACTTACTTGTGAACAAAGCTTTCACTTTCAACGGGAGCGATAGCTAGCAAACAATATAACACATAGTTAGGTCGGACCTTTCTCAAAAGGTATCCAACAAGCAATTTTACAGGAAGTTTTGGGGTGGAATTGGAGTGTATCCGCTGATTTCACAATCAAATATTGCAGAAAGAGCTATTGGTGCTGAAGGTGGGGCGTAGGGGGGAGGTGCTTTGAGGACCTCACGGTAGAGCCTCTTCATGGATAATAGCGAGTGAGTGAGTGTCCGAGCCCCCTTACGAGCGTGTGTGAAACTTTCGTAATTGGCAAGACGCGGCAATTGATCCTGATGAGGGACCTGTGCCACGAAACGACTTTCAATTCGCTGCTAGCAGTACTCTAACCAAGGTCAACTCAATCGTCACCGTCTTTTTCAAAGATTTTGCCACCCCCACTACCACCATCGGTCTTAGAAGGCTCTCCCCAATACGATCCTTCTACAAGCACCACGCTTACCGTCACGGCTGTTTCTATAGATTTGATTCTGACAAAAAACAAAAAAAAAAAAAAAAAGAAAAAAAAAACAAACGTGGGGACCAGTCGATCGACATAGCTCACCTCTGGCAGAACCTGTTCCTCCCAACGGCCGTGGGAGGGGGGATGTACTCATATCATTGAACACCAAATCCACCAATTTTGCCTAATTCTCACTACTTTCATTATTTAGCACAAATGCGACCTCCTCCTTCGAGTAGTGTACGGTATCAGGGACGGTTGACCCTGATTCCAGGTGATCAACCACAATCTTACATTTTGGGCAGAGCCCCTTGACAGCGCACTTTCTCTAAAGCTCCCGCGTCTTGTGAAAAAGTCCTCTTCTTCTACTCTGATCGCTTTAACCAGCGTCAGACGATTAGCATTTCAAACGAACTAACAACTCTGTATGTATAGATTTCTTGTTCTCTCCGCAATTTGGTGTGCGTGTGTGAAGTTAGCTGAAAAGGTCTGGCTACAAAGTGTGTAGATGTCATGTAGATGCTTAAGCTTCGAACGGAACGTCGAATGCCGTCGTTTGCGCTTTAAGGTGTTCGTCCCCCGTCATTGAGTGTGCGTCTGTTCAGTCGTCAGTCGACGCACGACGGTGGTGATTCCGGCACGTCTACCCATGGCTCAACCAAATCGACAACCTATGTGCCTGAGTCAGGTTCTTTTGGTTTGTTTTGCCTCTTTACATACATTTGGCTTATTTGGCTACGCGGTTACCTTGGTTAGATTGCATGCATAACCTTGTGGCTCGCTAACATGTTATCCCTTCGTTTCCCTTTTTTTCCCGCTTACGAGCTTAACGCTTGAGCTTGTGAAAAGAGATTGAAACTTTGGGTTGATTTGATTTCAATTTGTTATTTTCGTGAGCTCTGTGATCTATTCGGTATGTTACGGATATACGACATGATATTTGTTGGTTACTTCGACTGTCAAAGACGCAAAATAAAATGCGGGTTGCGCTTTAACGAATGGTTTTGTCGACCACGTATGCTTCACCTCTACATTCATGCAAAATCTCTATATCACTTATGGGGGCTAGCCCATGTACCAGCCAGTGTTTTTATCCCCTCAAGGAAGGCTAGCATCGATCAACCCAACCTCCCAAGATAAGACGTCCTAAACCACAGTTCAATGGGCATAAACCGCAATTCAATGCGCAGTATAAAAAGTCCATGTGTTTCCAAATTTGATCCCCAAACCATTCCATGATAGACCTACTTGCCACTACACCACATTTATCCATTGGGTTAGGTTCTTCTTTGATAAAAGGATTCTTTCAATCCGCTTCAAATCTTTGATTAAGCTTGTAGACCGATGGGAGTAAGCCATTAGGCAACGATCGCTTGTGAGTTAATGTGCCACTGCCACACTTCGACCATTTTTCGGCTTGGTTACTAAGAGGCATGTCGCGACATGAGTCGTCTCAAATAGGCAACCCCAAAAATTGACTCAGGCCACTAGTAGAAGGGATACTCCATGAGGCGAAAATGTCAAGGGTCTGCTACTTACCTAGATCGCTTCCAACTTCGTTCGCACAAAGTTTGCACGTTTAAGCGCTAATCATTACGGCCTGCAACCATTCGCACTCCTGTCTTCCAACGCGTATCCATCAGGGCATGATGAGACTCGACGAGCACTGATGTGAGGAGATCAAGCGTGCTCTCTCAACGATTGTGCTCTCCGCGATTTTGTCATTTTGAATCTTCCGTGGGTCTGCGCCATCGTAGACCAAGGCCTACTTATGAAGGTCAAGGCCTTAATTTCAGCATACCTAAAGAAATCTTGCTTTCCTCTCCACTTTCAGGTCGATTTTTTGATAATTCTAAATTGAATAGAGCCCCTACTAGCCAAGTCCGTTCTTTATCAGACGTACAGATGTTTACTGTGAGGGTTTTGCGAATCATTCCCCTATGTCTGTGTCTTCTTTAGAGTGACAATGATAATTACATGAGGAATCCGGCTTACAGTAAGGATAGGCCTTGGATGACAATAAGGAATCCTAATGGAAAAATGGATGGAGTCGTGTAACCATATAGGATGTGGTTGGGCATAAGTTGGAATACGCATTCGTAGTGGGATGTCTGGTTACAGGTGACCGAAACAATAATGAGCATCCTTCGCTACAAACTTTGTTGAATGGTCCGTAATACCAATAGATCCCAGCGTATTCCCATACTAAAAGCTTCGAGCCATTGTCCTGCTTTTGTGCTCTTGTTGTCCAGTTTGACGTCTCCAATGATTTTTTTTATCTCTGAGGATCGTCTTTGTAAGAATATAAGCACTTTGGGAAAGGTCTGTCAAAATAAGAAAGTATATTGTTTGGTCGTGATCAGTGGCAAAGCGTTCGTTTCGTAGGTCGTCGGATAGCCACCGGTCGACAGCGACTGCTCAAACGAGGATCTCCTATGGGACAACAACCATCACTCGAGTCCAGTCACAAGAGAAGGTCTCTCAGGTGGGCGACGATTCTTATCAACACTTACTTTTCTTTTGCTAAGCTGATTAATGAATAAGAAAGAGTCAAGGCAGTTACACTCCTATCTCTGGGCCTAGCTGTGCTCATGATTTCATTCAGTAATCCTTCTGTTTTCTGGTTATGTTCAAAGATTTGAATCACAGATTCAGTTGAAAGGATCAATTTACTGAAATCAGTGATAAGTAGAACTTTTGTAAAAGGCAGTGTTTAAAAACGCCGGGCTCGTATAGAGTTCAAGGCGCTCTCAAAAAGGTTTCCCGTTCTTACTGTTTGTGTTTTCGCTAGATTTGGGGTTTTCATACCCCTGAATGTCGATGCCAGCTCTCTTGTAAAGGCAATGTGACGTTCCGGTGATTACCTCTACCCACAATTTGCGTTCCGCCGAAGTGGTAGTCATATACAAACTTGACCGACTGCTCTACATATTCTCTTACTGGCCTCTCGCTTTTCAAGTCCTCATCTAATGTGGATTTATTTTCAGAACCCGTAAGCAATCCAAAATGCAGTCGCATCAAGATGACATCGAGGAAAGAATCGGAAGGTGAGTGCATTCTGCCGTGTAGCAATTTTTTTTCCACAGCAGTCACTCCGTCGTTCACGGATTGGCCTTCTCATTCTTAGAAAATCCGGCAGCGTCGGCGGCGCAGCGTGGCAGCTATGCTCGCGGTTCCATATGGACCTTACGTACTGCCATTCAGCAAATGCCCGAATTGGCTGGTGCTCTTATTCATGAAGGTGATGCCGTACATGCCACCATCCTGCATCGTTCCCAGCGGAGTGTGCGGGATAAGCGACACTACTTGCTTAGGAAAGAGAAATTGCACTTCTGCACTATTACAATCCCAAATGATTAGATTGAAGTTCGCTGGAAAATTTACTGGAGGGGATATTCGGTGGAGGAGAGTATGTCAAATGAAGTGGCAAATCTTCCAACTTTTCCTATCTTGCCTATTTTTCTCACTTCATTCGCGAAGTTCCCACCACCATCAAAAGCCCCCGCACCCAAATGCGACCCTTCGCACTTTCCCAAACATGGTCAACCTTTCTCCCATATGCGACCCCTTCCTTCCAAAACGGGGAATGCAACGGCCTAGTTCGAAATGTGCGAACGGACGGTGATTGAGACCCTGATTCGGTGTCCTGACCTGATGTGGCATCAATTTCTAACACTGCCGAATTCTCGACGCACTTGACATCTCAGTGATGGTACTACGCTGCTGGAAACCGTTGAAATGTTCACTTTTCTTGAAAGTACGGTTAGCCAGCCGGTCAGGGTACTCAGGCCATCGCGCGTGGAACTGAAACGGCTACAGACGTATCGGAGGAACTCAACCAGTGCCAGCAATGTCGTCCATATCCCAAAGCTCTAGGACGGAGCTCATATTGTCTTTTTCATGGATCCTTCTCCACTTTGCGCAAATGGAACGTGGAGAGTACTTCTATCCCCAGGTGATGAATGCTTTTTCACCAAAGTTTTCTACGCTGAGATATGAAGATGTACAACACAAAATGCACGTGAAGGCTGTTCAAGCACACGGACGGCGCCGCTGTTCTACGAACCGCTTTTACGTGATTATGGTCCGGAAGGGATCAGCTGACCGGCCATATTTTACTCATGGACAACATCCAATTTTCGAGTGGCTCAATAGCACGAGAAACCAGGAGGCAAATCCTCGAGGCTGGCTTCTGGAGTATGATTGTTTTGGGGGCCAAGAATAAGTGGGGGCAAGAACAGCAAAAATGGAAAGGATGTTCTGCTGGGCTTGCTCAACAGCACAGAAGAAAGCGGGTCTAAGAATGTGATAGTGCAGAAGTGCCGAAAATCTGCCATTTGAAAGCAAAAGGATAATCATTTTTACGTATGAAAGCTCCCGCACACTTCTGACCGCCAAGGCGCCACCGCATTCCCTCAGCTTGCTCTGTGGCTTCCCAGTAGCATGTGCTTCAAGCCATCATGTCCTCAGATGACGGATACCGTAAGTTCTCTGACTGATATCAAGTCTGCCCTCTACTCGATCCCTTCAAACCTACGCGTTAACCGTTTTGCTAATTACGCGCTGCTATGGTGTTTTTTTTTCAACTGTTCTGCATGCAAAGGCGGTTCTCGTCTTTTTTATTTGCCTCCTGCAGCTGCCATTCCTGTCTCGTTCGTAGCAAATATGTGCTCATTTCAGTTCTGCCCTCATCTAGCGCTCGAGAATCGTTGAAGCCGTCTGAAGAGCCGGCGGCGCAGTCCCCTACAGAGTTCTCGAACCCGGTGAGTAGAGTTTTGTCGCGAAGACCGCACCTTATAAGAAGTGACGCAAGCTGAGAGGAAGCATCTTCAGAGCAATATTTAGCGTTTTTCTAAACTAAATTTCTTTAAGTCCAGTTTAGAGCATGATTTTGAAGTGCGATTAGCCATTCCACAAAGCGCAGGTACATCATGAAAATACCAAAGCACACCACTATTCTAGTCTTCA